AGTTCCTGGAAAGTCAAAACACTAGGGAGTGCGTATAGTCGCCTATTGATGGGATTTTAATTTCGTGCATGCAAAAACTAATGCTTATGTTCGCGTAAATACGATAGAAGGCGCCCAGAACTCACCTCCATGTGTGCGTCAAAAATTGAAGAAATTTTTCCTGCGAATGAAAAACGAACTTCTATCGGTCGCACCTCAGGATTATAAGAGGTCTTTGATTCTTCTAATGCTTTGGCTATACTTGCCGTATTTCCTTGAACGGTTCCAGGTGTAAAAATCTTATCTGATTATGAGTGCCGTTGGAAAAAAAATTCGGTCGCACCTCAGGATTATAAGAGGTCTTTGATTCTTCTAATGCTTTGGCTATACTTGCCGTATTTCCTTGAACGGTTCCAGGTGTAAAAATCTTATCTGATTATGAGTGCCGTTGGAAAAAAAATGTCCACGGATTTTGTTGATCAGAGGCAATCATGCACTTCATCTGCGAATCTGAGAGGCACTCTGACATTTTTAGTCAAATGTTTACGAAGAACTGAGTCTTATACGCCAGATACATCTGGAATGACCGCATCGGGAAGCCTGCGGTTGTCTTGTAAAACGGGTTTTCCGATCTTTACTCAGATTGCGAATCATTGCTTCGTCCTTTTTTTTAAAATTAGGATTTGACGAGTACCGATGTTATAAACGTTTGATCGAGGTTTGTCTGATGCAAATATGAAATGAACCGTTCATCGTGTAGAGATTTCCCTCATTCATGAGGAAAATCATGGGCAATGGGATCATCAATTATCTGAAATTACGGTATTCACTGCCTGATAAAATTGAAGCAATTTGAGCTAAATATGAAATGAACCGTTCATCGTGTAGAGATTTCCCTCATTCATGAGGAAAATCATGGGCAATGGGATCATCAATTATCTGAAATTACGGTATTCACTGCCTGATAAAATTGAAGCAATTTGAGCTTCGGTCTGGGGCATTTTTCTCGGTTTCTCAACTTGAGATGTGCAGTTTTTCCTCTCGAAAAGTCCCCTGGTGGCAAATTTTGACAGGTACTCGATTTAATTTTTTGTCATCTGTCAGTGCTGAATTTAATTATTTACTCTTGAGAATGAAAGGCAAAAAAAACGACCCGTTTTTATCCGCCTCGAATGGTGACTTGGAAGGAAAATCTAGAATTTAGACCACTGATGCGACTTTAAAGAAACCCCTCGTATTATCGTGCAGTTGCCTGGAACGTCGATCTTGTTCATTTTAGTGCCAATCATAAACTCGAGGTACTCACCTTGAAGTACTGGGTAGCAAGGAGCGAATGTACTTCCAACATTTACCATCATGATATTGGGGAAGTTTTCCCCTTGAAGTCACCTCCAGGCTCGGGTTTTTTTTAGGGTGATATATTTTTATTCTGCGTGAATATCACTACATTATTTGAATGAGGTGTTCATTACTCACAATTGCAGTAATACATTATTTCATGTTTTGATTTAAAATTTCAGGGTGGGGCGATTCGATTTCAGTTCGAAGGAAATTCCGGTTAAAATATCGCGTTCAGCTGGAATATACAATACAGCACAGTACTTGGGTTTTAACGAAAAGTTGAAACCCAAGTGTCAACTTCACAAGTGTCACCCTTCACCCTTATGTTTACTTCACAAGACGTACCAATTTATGCGTTTCTTGACCGGTTGTTGAGGTTTTGAGAAAATTAGCCGCGATATCTTGGCAACATTGAATGGCGGAGATAAAGTTATTGTAATTTACGCGCTGTCTGGTTTAAAATTTGTTTTCAGTTCTTCGATTGCATTTTACCACAAAAAAAGATACGGATGGCGGAAAATTAATGCATGAACTTCTTAGTTCAGAGGGTGGACTTCGCCATTAAAATTGATTACATTTTGGGAATCGCAATTTTTTTTCGGGTATTGACACGGAATGCATGATAGCCATCTTTTTTTTTTAATGAAAAAATTTCCACTACAGCATTCTTCCAATTTTCTTAAGCTGAAATTGAGAAATACAAAGCATTCGAACGTTGAAGAAATGTGGCTTCATGCTAGTCAATGACCATGTGCAGTTTTATAACTTGATGGCATTAATTTTAATTATACCAGTACTGTATGCAGTAATTAAATATACTGTACTAGCTACGATTGAAAATTTTGAAACCTTGGTTGAACAGCAGCAACGTCCTCAACTTGGTAATTTTTGTTTTAGGGACGCTGTACTTCATGAACCTTCCCACGTATTTTATTTTTATTTTTGGACATAACGAAAACAGGAGTAATGTTTGTGCCAGCTAATTTTCTGGCTGTGTTTGATTGAAGCGAGGATTTTCGTCGCCTTGAATTCGAGTAGTGGATATGCAGTAATACGCTGAGAGAAAGGCGTGGTTTTTGAACACCGTGATTCACTGTCGATTGCATTCGCGAAATGAACAATCACGGTCATTTCACGATACCATCAATCTCTTGCTTCCTGTCGCGGAAACAATGGAAAAAGTAGTTCGTTGATTCATGGAGTTATTCGTTTGTATGCCGGGGAAAACCCTGCAATGCCTTGAATAGGGTCGGTATTCCTTTTTTTCTTCTTTTCTGGTGTTTCTGGTGCGAAGCGAATCGATCTTGCCCAAGCAAAAACTTCACTGGGCGTCATTTTCAATTTCCGGGTTTTCCAACTCAGGCAAAGCTTTGCGAGAATGGGGTGAAGTTGGGGAACCGGATGGGTGCTGTTGGTCGATTTAATGGCGCTTTCCCTCGTTGTGTTTTTCGATGAAATATTGAATCACGATAGATTCAAGATGTTTTTCAATGAAAATGAAGACTTTTTTCAGGAGCAGTCTAGAGATGCTAGAAATCCCCTTCATCAAGCTTCAGAACCCTTTTCTTCGTGTCCCTGCGGCTGAAAATGGGACACCCGAAAGATGATCAGTTCGTGTTGAGCCCAAATTTATTTTTCAAAACTGTTCTGTGAAGCCTTTAATGATCAGTAAACGGCATGATTTAATTGCTTCTCCAGCTGATGACGCATTCAAGACACTTTTGAAAAGGGTTTTCGTTAGCACTGCGCACAAATTAAGAAATTTCACTGTTGAAAGTTTGAAAGTGGAAGTGAAAATGAGTTATTTGCTGCTTGAACACGTTGACTTCCCAGCCCTTATAGTAGCAGTTCACAGCATTATGAATTTGCAGAATGAAGGTTGTCACTTGGGGAAATGTTCTTGCATGTACAGTATTTTTTTATTTTTTTACTTGTGCATTTGGGAGAATTTCTCGGGCATGTTATTTACAATTGTCAATCGAGATCGCGGTAACCACGTGAGGGTTCCTTTGTGCGCTTAAAACGTTTTCATGTGTAGTCCAGAGAAATTCATGATTATGGTCTTCAAATTTAATGGTGGAATGCAAGAAAGATGTTACGTAGTTTTGCTCATGCAAATATACCGCTCCCAGTTATTGTTTGGAGTCCTCGTGACATGTTTTAAAAGACCTCTCTTAGTTATAGTGAATTGAAACTCGATTCGACTCGCATTCTTCAGTTTATTGCTCTGCAATTTTTCCTTCCGAAATGCGAGTATCAATCCAGGCGTAATGCCTCTCAGGAAAAACAAATTACAAGTACTGTACTCGCTTCGACGAATTCACCGCGCTCAACTCACACTCAAAAGCTCTTAGAAAATTTCTCTTTTCTAAGTAATATCGCTGAATTTCGCGTTCCGGCGGTTTTCGCGAAAAATAGCGTTCATTCCCGTGCACGCAAATTTGTTTCGCATCAAAATATGGCCCACCATTCGAATTTTCGCTTCAGCATTATTCATACTGTATAATGCTGCGCCCCAGTGTTTCAAATTTCAAACTTGGTTTTAAAATTCGGTTTCTCTGATTTTCCGACTGGTCAGATAGCGTGGCTCTATGAGAAAAGATGAAATTTGAATGGAATTTTGGGTGCTTTTGAAGGTTCCGGGTTTTCTAAAATTCTCAAGCGCGTCGAAAAAATTGAATTTTGAACGAAATTTGGTTGGATAAATAACCAGCAGGGATGTTGAAGAGAAATCATTCAAGGTTTTTCGATTCGAAGCGCATGATCGCCTACAGTTGGATTATTGGTCAGTTTTTCCCGGAATAATTGACGGATTTGTCTCTGTTTGCGAATAGCGAGGTATTGGAAGGTTTGCGATTTAGAATTGTTGAATTATTTTCAACGCCGGAAATATTGTACTCAAGATTCTTTTAATCTGCGAAATTCAAGAATTTTTCCAGCGGTAACTTGAATTTTGCGCATCTTTTTCGAATTCTAAAGCCATTGTATTTATTTAAATCTTTTCTCCTGCAAATGTTCGAAAACTCGAAATGTGGAGCAAACATTTTAGAAACGTTCGGAACAATCGCCGTTTCATTTTATTTCTATGTTGGCAACGAACCGCCGAAAAGCGCATTTTCGAGTTACAATACTTGAAAAGCAATTCTTCTTGCACAGAAACGGGCAGGAATCGACTAGTAAATTTCAAAAATAAATAATTTGGTCTCTCCGTCTAAGTTGGATTAATTTCGGAAGCACGTGACTTCAATTGGCAAACACTTCCCAACTTTTTTTCTGTATTTATTTAAATTCCAACTTGGCAACCCCTATTTTGAAACGCATCCCCTCCTCTGTTCTACTCGCTTTTCACACTGAATGCCCAGTTATAAATTTTTCATGCTTGAGTCTGACCTTGTAGCTTAAGTCGGAGGAACGATTTTTTTTTCAGAGAAAATGACAATCGTATTGGACACAAAGGCATTTAAAAAACCCTATCTAGAGAATCAATTTTCAAGATCACCAAATCGAAATGTTGTTCAAACACTCGAAATCGTACGTGTCGAACGAGACGAACACAAGAAAGAAATTTCGCTCCCAAAGTTACACAGCCCAAGATTTACCTTACTGAAGCATGAACTGAGTTTAACGCAATCTGAATCATTTTTATATTTTTGAAACCGAATTTTTCAAGCTCGCTGGGTTGTTATTGCACGAAGTTTTCTGTTCCGTGCGAGTGAAATAAAATACAGTAAATGTTTTTCGTGAATTTCTCATGAGTCGATATGCGACTTGGTCTCTTCTTTTTCTTGGATGGCAAATGGCATTTTAGAGAAATTGAAACGTGGAGCCAAGATTTTATTTTACACCGAGAACAAAAAAAAAATCCAACACTAAAATGTATCATGAAATTCACAACTCTTTTGAGATCGAACACAAATATTGTTTCAATCGAACTGAACTTCGTGCAAGTAATCTTTCCTCCAGTCAATTCCTTTTCCTCACGTTTCGCGTGAAACTTGGCCTCGCAAAAATGTTGAAAGTCTCTTCAAGTTCACGAAAGAAAGAAAAAGGATCAAAAGAAACCTTTCCAGTTTAATAGAAGTTTCAGCGAAGTTATTTTTTCTTCTCTGGCCATCCCATGACCATTTACATTTGAGTGAAATTAAGAGCATTTCTAGGTGAAAACATAAAAATCCACCTGCAATATTTCAACTAAATTGAGAACGAGGTTTACTTCTCTGCTTGTTTTTGCATTCATGAATATCATCACGAAAGTCTAAGAATCATCTTGATTTCGAAGGAACTTTATAGAGCCACGTTATCTGTCACGACGGTCGACTTCGAGAGAACCGGGCCGGAAATGAAAATGTAATAAAAAGGAAAACGGACCATCACGCACGAAACGGCGGCTCATCGCTTCCGTTTCCCCAATATTCGAGAGTAGTGCACTAGGGGCTGCCGGCCCGCGGCGCCCATTTGAAACAGGTAGCGGACGTAGGACTGGTTGGGCGGCGTCGCGCGCAGTGCCGCCGCGATGATCACAGGGCTCGTCGTGGCGGCGACGAACGGAGTTGTTGGGAAGGCGGCTGCCGCCGTCAATGGGGACAGGGACGCCTGTGACGGTGTCACGACGTAAGGTTGTGACGCCGCCGCGTGTTGGTGGTGGTGCCGCGTCGCCGCCTGCAACTGTAACCAGGCGGACTCGAACGGCGTCAGCTGGCTGATCCTCGGAATGCCGCCGTTGCCGCCGCCTTTGAAAATTGATTCGCTGTTGGGATTCAAACTGGGCAACGGACGTTGGTAGTTTACGTTGATGTCGCTGAGGAGTGACACGTATGTTGACGGTTTCGGCGTGGAAGTGGCGAAGAAGCCGCCGAAATCTTCTGCGGAAATTGGGCGGACGCGAGTTGACGAGTCTTGCTCGGGTCGACGCGTGGGGAATTCGTGGAACAGGGGCTCTCTAGTTGAATCGGAAAATGACGGGAATTGCACGTCGCGAAATCGGTGCTCTTGTTGTTGCTGTGGGAAATGGAAAAATTGTTGCGGGTTCGGACCTCGCATGGGTTCCCCGGAAAACGAGGACACTGAACTGTCGGGCCGTCGTCGCGCGACTTTCGGCACCCACGGCGTCACTTTGGGCGCCCCGAGAAGGTCCAAATACTCTTCAAACTTGGTCTTGTCGCGCGTTTTATCCGTCGGGAAAAAGACGGGCTTTTTCGACGGCTTTCCCGGGCGTCGCGTCACTATCTCGGGGAACTGGAACATTTCGTCGTCCGGCGGGAAGTAGATTTTCTTGGGCGGCTGCTCACTGGTTGGAGGAGGGAAAACTGTGACGGGTGGAGGAAGAGCAGGTGTTGGTGGCAAGTGTTGTGGTTGTGGTTGTGTCGGTCTCCGTGTCGGCGGCGGACGAGAAGGCAACGGAACAGGCCTGGGTCTTTGTGGCGGTGGACGCCGTTTCGGCGGCACTGGAAGCCTCGGCACGTTGGACTGGACCGGAGTACCGACTGACTCTGGTATCTGTCATAGACAAAAAGAAAATGATCAGAATTCATGAATCATTTTTTCTTTCTTTAAAGTTGAATTGATTTATGGGGTTTATCTTTGCTAAAAGCGAAAGAAAGGGCGCGTGTTTTGAAGGCGATAACTTTTTTTTTTTTTTAAATTCACTACGATGGTCCTTGATTACAGCATAAATATGCGTGGGCACAAATACAATTTTTTGCTAGCGTTTTTTTTCTCTCGAAAGTTCCCCATCTGTAATAGTAGGGCTTTCCTAGTTGGACGCGACCTCTGATATTTTCAGAGCAGATATTGTAAAAAAAAAAAAAGAAATTCATGACAGCCCATGATGTTATAAGATTCTGGGATTTTTAACAAAGGCCTTCAGTTCACTGCATGGACTTATCATGCCGAAAATGAAACTCGTTTTTTTTTTAAATCTGAAAAAAATCCCAGAATCGTGGAACATCATGGACTATGTCATGAATTTTTTTTTACAATTCATTTTCTAAAAAAAATATACGCTAAAAATATCAGAGGTCGCGTCCGACTGGGACAACTCTCGTACAGGTTAGAACTATTCCGTCTACAATAATTTTTGCAATTAAAGAGTGTTCTTGGTCCCATTGGGCAATTTTACAACGAAATTCTCCTAATAACGAATTCTTTGCTGGTCCCTCGAACTTCGTTAAGTACAGGGAGTATGAACTTGAAAGAATGCCTGAAGGGAAGTTCGTGGTCTCTTGAAGCAGATTCTTGTCAGTCATCAAAACAAAGTCACCTTGGAATCTGGCTGAGGGAAGAAGGTGTCGAGGATGCTTCTCAATTCCGCGTCGACGCCGCGATGCGGGTCGTCGGGGTCCACAATTTTCGGCGCCCCGAACTCGGCCGCGTAGTAGGTGTAGAGGTGTGCGTCGGGCTCGTAGACGGAGTCTGCCGGCTTGAAGGCCAGCTTGCTCACGCGGACGTCGGGGTGGAGCAGAGTGATCGGACGGACGCCGTCTGGCGGCGGATGCTCGCCGAGCAGCGGCGGGAAGAGGAGCGGGCGACACGGGCCCGTGATGGGACACAGTGTGAGGGCCGTGATGTTCCGGGCCAGGGGATCCGGGTCTTTGCCAAAGGGATCCGACACGCCGGGCACGTAGTCGGGGTAGACTTGGTCGAGCCCGCCGAGCTCGGGCCCGCCGGGTGGCAGCTTCGGCTCGCGGGCCGGAGCGCGGAAGTTGTCAATCGGCGGGCCCGGGTCGGCGGGCTGGTAGTTTTTTGGGAAGCTGCCTCCGCGGAGCACGAGTAGGTTGCCGTCGGTGAAGTAGACCTCGTGCGGGTCGAATTCCTCGAGGTCGTTTTCCAGCAGCTCGTTGGTGGTGACGGGGTGCGGCTTGATGCGGGACTCTGGTGGAAAGGCCACCTGTGAAAAACGTACGGAGGGGAGTGAAGAAAGGAAAGAAGTTGAAAACATATCAGTGCCCGCCTTTAAATTTTTTTTTTTTTTTTTTTTTTTTAAGCCCGAACGAGACGTTACTTGAAACGTCCACAGTAATGTTTTCAACAAATACGCCACAGACGGGGATTCCGTATTTACTCGAATAAAAGCAGAACCCTCCCCTCCCCCACACCACCTAAATATTTGGTGTACAAAACTAAATTTTCATTCATAGTCGAATATTAGCTACTACTGAACATTACTAACTTTCCTGGTGTTCTGACTTTCTTGCAACCTAAAGAGTTCGATTGAATTCAGGTTTTTCTCAGAAAATTGACAAATGGTATCACGCAACCCTTTCCCCGTCAGTCAATGACTCGTGCATCTTCAAGAGCTAACCGCTGACCATTTCTTGATAATTCACAACTCCAATTCCAAAAGAAATGAAAAGAAGTGCTTGATTGGTTTTTGGGCTGCGGAAAGGAAGATTTCCGAATATAGACGGATACAAGTATTAACGCGATTTGCTTAAATATTTGTACTGTATTTAAAAACCCTGCCCCTAGTTTTTGAGCCTCTAAAAAAGAAAAAGTAGTTCGTGAAATTGTGTTTTACTCTCAATTTTTCTCGATTTTTTGAAACTGAATGCAGCATGGTGATCTGAAATTTTTTGAATTTTACGTCTATCGCTTTTTTACCTAGCTGCTTGCAAATCAGTGCCCCTTGGTTAAAATTTTGAATTATTTGAAATACAGTGATGTACATTACTATTCTAATATTGACTTGCATTTTACGCGTTTGGAGTCGTATGGAACGTTAATCTGATGAAGCATCTTTTGGAAACCCACTGAAGGAGATTTTCACACCAGTCATGAATTGAATACAGTACATTAATATGTTTTCTAATCTTCATTAAAAACCCTTCATCTGAAAAAAATATCAATATGTAAGTCAGAAGTATAATTGACGATTGATGGACACGTGTCAGACGGCAGAATGGTTCTCTTCTCAAAAAGAACGGGGTGCGTTAGTGCAATCCCCGAAAATGGCTCCAACAAAATATACTGGAATACTGTACTGTAGGTGTAATGGTGGGAAGCGGCCCATGGAAAAGATCTTGTGAACCGGATGACGATTGACCTCGAAATATATCAATCATTTCCTGTCACTGGGGAGTGGTGGTTCAACGAAGGATTTTTCTCAGCTTCCTGGATCCATTATAACATCAATTTCGAGAACAAATCTGGGATACAGAAAAATAAGTCATGTATCACCATTAACTAGATTTCACGCCGAAGCTCGTTTGATCTAGTTTTTGAATACTTTTACAGTATTTGCAGTGTCAAGCCAATTATTTGTGTTGAAAATAGAAAGTGAGAGATGGATCTCTGACAATTTTAATGAATGCTGATCAACTGCTGTACGCGAGATTTTCCTTTCATAAAAGTGAGATTCTCTTTTATTCTTGAAATTGTCTAAGAACTAGACGAGGTCTAAATAAATGTACGTTGAGGAATTAGGGAGAACGTGGATCTTCAAGTTTGGGAAGATCATTTGGCTAGAATATTTGCATGAGGAGACGAGAGCTCAAAACCCAGTGAGCAGAAATGTGAAGAGGATTTTGAGTGTGGTATTTCGAAGCAAATTAATTGAAATTAATGGAAAGCCCTGTCATGCGAGACCGACTGTTGGAGAATCGGTTGAGAAAGTATGACAGGTGATCAAACAATACGAAAATGCGGTGTTTATTTTTCTTCCCTATTTAAAATGGAAAAATCTAAAAAAAAAAACATCCGAGTGATGGTCACTGTAAATCGGATCAAGGTGAACCAGTCGTAGTTCTGTAGCCTGAAGGATTCACATGCCTCACAGAAAAATGTGATTGAAGTACTGTATCAGCTTAATTTGAATAGTGTAAAAAATAATGTATTCGAACGGCCAGAATCTTTGCATAATCATATCTGCGTCACTTTGGAATTAATTCGACCTGAGGTTAAAGCTGAACAGACCCGCGAGAAAAATTTCGAGGCGTTGAAGTCAGTACTATTTTTCTACGCAATATAAACATGATCAAAGTCATTTGAATTTCACCATGAGTCGTGTGAAAAATTAGGCTTAAACAAGCGATGCCAGGGGGCATTTATCTGATATCCTGCGGACAGTTATGCAAGAGAGAAATATTGGGACGAGGCGTGGTCAGAAACGGGTCCTGGAATCCTTTGGCTTTTTCATTTGTTTAAATTCCACTGATTCGGGGTTTCAAAATATTTTATCGTGATACTGTAATGTAATTAGCTTTCGAAGTGCAATACTGCATCTAATGTAGCATAGCGTCCCCTGGCTTCAACTATTGCAGTCATGTTCATGCCACGAAAATATATGCTACACGCGGACCTCCATGAGTAAAAAAAAAAAATCCGTAACACGAATTTTTTCTGATCTCTCTCCAAATTTCCCTAAAATGCTTGAAACAATGTAACCTGAACATCCTTCACGTGGTATTTTTCCTTTAAAACTTTTGAACGCTCGGAGGTAAATGAAGTTTAAATGGTAATGCTTGCTGGAAAGGAAAATGAGCAACTTCAAGTAGTCTATAAAATCCTGGCTTGATGTTCTGCATCCTGTAGACTCATTTCTACTGCAGTTTTCGGTGAATAGTCTCTTCTACCTACTGGGAACGATTCATGGAATATTTTTGGACACCCTACGCACAGTTACTGCTAACATTTCAGCCCCAATTACATCTTGACATTATCGACAAGCATTTTCAGACCTAGTTTCCCCAACTCGAAACCTCTCAAAGTCGTGAATGGACAATTCTTTGTCCATTCAAATTCTACTTCGAGAGGCCAGATTGTATAATATTTTGTTTCATATACTGTAAATTCCACTGATCATGATTCGCCCCTTCGTTTGGTTTCAAGTTATTTTTATGGATAAATTATCAAGTTACACTTGGAAAATTTTGGAAATTCCGCTCAAACTTGAGTAACGGAACCAACCGCCTTGATCTGGTCTAAGCGCGCGGGTTTTGACATGAATTCTTAGGGTACTAGTGATTTGTTGATGCCCGAGCACTGTTACAGTACTCACTTGAATGAGCTCGTAGGGGTTGCCGGGCTTGCCAATGTCGAGCAGACTGTTGCTCGACACGGGCTTGCTGCCATCGGCGCCCTGGTCCGTGTCTGGCATGGGTGTGAGCGTGAGCAAATCATTGTCGGTTACGGGCGCCACCGGGGCCTGTCCGCCGCCGCCGCCGCCGACCTCCGCTCGCCCATTCTTGTCTATGAACCGGATGAGCTTGACCCGTTTCCGGCGACTCTGTCGTTCCTGGTTTGAGAACGAGGCGGATATCACACTCGCCGTCGTCGTCGTCGTCGTCGTCGTGGTGGTCTTTGGACTCGTCACTGACGGAATCCGCGTGTTCGGCGTTTCTATTGAAATGGGCGGCTGGAACCGCGGTCGGTACGTGTCGCGGACGAAGAGCTGGGCGCTGGATCGGTTGGCCAGACGGCGGAGTGCCGCTGCCGCCGCCGCGCCCGGTTGCACCGCCGCCACGTGCTGTTCAGCGCTGCGCTTTTGGTTGTTGTTGTTGGCCCATGGCGGCCGGCGTGGCTCGGCCCGAGCCGCCCACGTCACGGCCAAGGTGACCAAGCACCAGCACACCGCCGCCACCGCCGCTGCCTTTGCTGGAGGCATCGTCACCCTGTTGGAAAGCCCACACACACACTTGGGTTTTTTCTTTCTCTCTCGTTGTTTGCAAGTGTTTACATAATATTTATTTGTTTATTTATGCACCCCGCGTGGGGATTATGACGAAATTCCCGATCGATCCTTGCGAACAGCGCGTGACCCAGTATTCCTTGAGGTCCTCTTTTCTTTTTTGCAACCAACATTTGTGAGTGGTGAAGATAACTTCCGGTTTCTCTGATCATGAAGATTTCCAACATTGAATCACAATTAAGTGGATATTCGATCATATTTTTCTAGATGAATTGGCTATTACTGGAAATTTTTAAACGTTTCATTGCTCAAAACATGAAAATTATACCTGAAATGTCCGTGATGTAAAGTTAATTACGGTATGTTAAGTTAGAGAATAAACGTTTTTTTAGTGCAGTCAAATTCGAAGCTTTTTGTTTCCGCTCATGCTCCAGAAAGATTGGTGTATTTTTAGAGAAGTTAGGAAAGGGAAGTCTGAAATGAGAGAATTTTGTTTCACGTTTTGAATTTTCTATACTACTTGAAGAAAATAAATTGGAAATTTGGGCAATTATCCACATATCTGTTGTGGAAGTAATAAGAAGCCTCTGCTATCTGCCTTCCGAAATTTCAGTCCTACGTAGTACGTACACAAAAAACCATCAATCGCGTTACAACACATTTTTTCCATGTCACTGTAAATTAGATAGTTGTAATAAGATATTACTTCAGTGCTTGTTGTAACGAGATTTTACGTCAGCACAAATGGACTCACTTCACGTCGATTTTTTGTATAACCAATTTTTGGCGTCATTCGGTTCCCTCCCCCTTCAATATGGGTTCTCTACAACGGATTTATTTCCTGTTCCATTGAATTTCGTTGTAGAGCGAGTCCACCTGTAGTCAGGGCTTGGGCCTAGGTTAACAGAAATGTGCAATCTTTTAGTAAGGATTTCGACGGTCAATGGAGTCTGAGAAACTGCGCAAAAGGGGGGTGGGGGAAACTCCTTTTTTTGGATTCAGTGTGACATTTTACTGCTCGCATCGAATGATGAAAATACCCGGAGTGTAGAGCAGAAAACATTTCATCAGAACTGGGTGTGGGGGATTTTAATTCATTTACCAGCTTTTTTTTTTCAAATGGGAGAGTACAGTGAAATAATTTGGAATGCCTTTGAGGACAAAGAAAATAAACGACGGGAAAAAGCCCCGCGAGTTGCAGTTGAAAAGACCTGTACTAAACGTAACACCTATTCAAAGTTGCGGTTCGTGAAACTCGGCTTACTGTGTACTGGACAATTCGTGCGAAGAAATGAAAAGGCATTGGGCGTGACTTCCGGCGACCTTCCCGATGGCAGGACGAAAAGGGGGGGGGGGAATGAACGAACGAGCGAATGAATGAATGAATGAAAGAGAGCAAGGTTTACAGCGAGTGGAACCACCGACCGCTGCGAGCGAGTTTTTTGAACATTCTTTCGAATCCTGTAATTTTTTTTTTCTCACTGTTGAGCAATCAAATCGGAATTTTGCCTTCTTGAGCCGACTAATTTGGAGCGAATTCTTGAATTTCCCGTAATTCCAGGTTATATGCGAAAAAGTCTTAGTTTGGAAATGCGGATGGTTTATTCAAACGTTTTTGAGGATACATTATCTACGCATTTGAATATAAGCACTCCCTTGATTTTTCATGTACTAAAATTAAATTCCATTTCTGCGTGAATGCAGTATAAGCACTCGCTCACTTTCCTAGTGTTCTGACTTTCCAGGAGCCTAACATTTCCGATTGAATTTAGTTTTTCCCCCAGGGAAGGAAAAATGGCTCTTATCGTTCCCCATCAGTAAGTGACTCGTGCAGATGTACTAAAATGAGCTTATAATTTCTTGATTAATTTTCAACTTCAATTCGTGCAGATGTCAAACGTATCACTACGTAATACTGTATAACATTTGATGTTTGGTCAATAGTTGAACCTCTCTGTCAAATTTCATGGGATCCACAAAAAAATCTACACGAAGTTTTCGAGCTAGGGAAACGGAACATTTCTGCAGGAAAAGAAGAATTCGAATATTCAAAAATTAAGCTTCAGCTTGCTTCAAGTCGTATTGAATTAATTTCATAGATGTATTCATGATTTTCGCGCATAATTTTGGTTCGTAAAATCATCAATTCAAGGCACAGTTGCTGAAGAAAGAGAAGAAATTGTCAAGTATCCCTCGGAACGTATTCGTGCGTCTAGTCGTTCAGATTTTAATTTGTTTCGCCTTTTCTCTGGGGTTTTACGCAAACGCGAAGGAATTTGAGGGGGAAATCAACAACTAAGAGGAAGGCTGTCGCGTGTTTTAAGGTATTTTCCGTCTCTTCTTGGAAGACGGAAAAATTACGCGATGTAAAAAATACTGTAAAACGCTTCCTTTGTTCTCTATGAAGTAACTTCGTCTGCGATTGTGTGCCACGTATCTTCGAGTTTAGATATTTTGAAACAGGCGAATTCTGTGGAGAAATCGCCGCTGTAGACTATTTTTTCCCCTGGACGATTCTTTATCGGGTGGACGCGACTCACAACGTCAAGTTTCAACTTCAAAACAAATGAAAGAAAAATCTTGCCTAAAAAAAAAGCCTGATTTCTCTAAAATGCGAAGAAATACATTGTAGCTAATTTTCTTCATGGGTTCGACCAACTTCACACCTGAGGTTCCCTTGGCAACTGTTCTGGCCTCTCACTGTCACTGACTCGAAGACTTCTCACGGACAGCAAAGAAGGAGATATTTCTCACGAAGAAGTCTTTGAAAGAATATCATGAGAAATCTAACTCCAAGGAATATATATATTTTTCCTTTGTAGGGAAGATTCCTGATTGTATCGAGAATCACTTGACCTTCCATTCCCGTATCGTGGTGACATTTTAATGCTTCTTATACTCGGAAAAGTTCATCTATACCAGCATTACACGTACGAACAAATTTAACTAAAGATCGGACAGGCTCTTCCGGATCATTAAAAATCTGACGTAATTTAGAATTAACCATTGTTTTCCATTCAATAATTAATTGCTGTTGAATGCTCTCAAGATCACAGTAAATTGACGAGGTTCTGTGTGAGTCATCTATTCTAGATAATTCTAGAAGACCACAGAAATACTTTTGACGTGACTCATTCATTCTTTAAAAAAAAATAAGTACTGTAAAAAGTAACGAACTTTTTTCAGCGAGCATTGCCAAAAATTTGTAAAAATGAGAATCGACTGCCAGAATCATGCACACGAGGAACACAAGTTCGTTTTTTTTTTCAATTGGATACAGTGCAATATTGAAAAAAATTTCGTTTATGAAACCATCACTCAATAATATCACGTAAAGAAATTGTGAAATTCCCACTTGAGAATATACATTCCCAATGTTGGGACTCGGAATGAAGTTTTTCTTCGCGTTCTGATTTTTTCAGCGAGAACTGAATAAACACGTTGTGTTCCCTCTACTGTCGCATAGGTATTCCAACTCCAGATTAAAAATAACCACAGGATTTATTGGGAGGTTTTTAGGCTTCGGATTTGTGAACAATGCTTTGAAAGTACTGTACCGAAACCCCGCGATTTCTTCAGTAGATGACACACGAATCTGGCACCCCGTAAAATGTGTATTATATTTTGGACGCATTCGCGAGACCGGTTTCCGAGAAAAATCTTTCAAAACGGATAATCTGTATTCAGCGGGTTTTTTTTTTTTCTTGTTCACGGACACACGGAGTTGTGGGAAAGGCGTCGCGTGGGCAACTGAGTGGTCGGGATTGAAAGCGTCGGTTGGATGTGGATGGATGGATGGAAGTAAGTGAGTAAGTGGTGGGGCGAAGGCGCGCTTTTGTGCTGGTTAGTGTGCGTATGTATGTAAGTAAAGTATGAGTGTGTCCCTTCGACCTGGATGTCCGGGAAGGAATGACCGCGATGACTGGACCCGCGCGCACCGAGGGGGCAAGCGAATATCTGCGTCACTTCTGAGTTCTGAAGAAGAAGAGACCGAACCGAGTTGGAGGATGATGATAATGGTGGTCGTCGTCGTCATCATCATCATCGATGCCATGCCTGAATCTGTGTGTACAGGGTGTGAAACACGAAACATCTAGGGTCGATTAAAAAAAACCGTTACTGTTGAACGAAATTTCCGGAACTTGAAAAATAATTACAGTTGGACCTTGATAACTCGAACCTCTCGACGTCGACTGTTTTAAAAGTCCCTGTCCGAATTTATTGGGAAACAATGCATTAAAAACCTCCCCAGCTCGAAGGGTTTCCCCCCAAAGAGCTCCATACCTCACATTTTCTGGAATCCTTTTGGCGATTACAGTATTTTTATTGACACAAGAAATAGAAAATCAATGAAAATGTAACTTTATGTGTTGAGAGAGGAAGTTAAAAACGAATTGTGCAAATAAACCCTTGCCTCGAAGTTCAGCATTCCGTCATTTAATTTAAGAATATACAGTATTTAAAGCCCAGAATATCACCAATTACAATTTCTTGAAATTCTTCCATTTCCCCCTAAAAATACTCGTTACACGAAGTCGAAAACTCCCTAACTCAATTTTTTTGCTGGTGTTCTGGAAGTTCGGAATACATCATGGAATAAATTGATGCGCGTAGATTTTCTGAAAAAGCAACTTCGAGGGTTATTCTTTTAAAAATTAGAAGATTAAATAATCTGGGTGAAGTTTCTCTGATGAAGCAGCAAGGTTTGACAAATTCTTTGCTTTCTCCACGTTTTGAGCAAATGGTCTTCCTTTATAAGAATCGTGAAATTCTTTTGGCGCTAGTTGAGCCATAATTTCGTTTGAGAAAGATTCCCATTTCTTGCAAAATTTACTTGAGCTAAAGCGGACTTATACCATTTTGAATGTCGTCCATTTTTTTGAAGTTTCAAAATCGGAAAATTATATCGCATTTGCGATAATCTCGGGCGAAGAGCGATGTTTTAAAAATTTGGTTCATTATGCTAATTTTTTCTTGATTATTGTATCAAGTTAAAACAAATTT